TCCTACTATAGTTAATATAAAGATGTTAACAAATTATCATCTTAGTAACACTCCCCAATATTAACATAGAGCAAGAAATAACTATTACTATAACTAATGTCAAGATGTTAACTAATTGTCATCTTAGTAACACTCCCAACATTGATATAGAAATAGTATTTAAAGGAAGAATTAATATTCAAGGAAAGAATTAAGAAAATAACTCACAACTTTAATAATCAACAAGCTTCAAGAGCAACACCAAGAATGGGAAGTTTAACTCCTCATTTGGAGACTAAACATAGCTAGAAAAATATAAAGAAATGCTATTCTAAACTGAGCTTAAGAGTATCGAAGAAGGGATGATTTTTTGAGAAGAAAAAGTGTGCTGTTTATAGGTGTTTTTCAACACCTTTGGCCAGGTACCCGACCGGGTCAAGTGCTCACCCGATCGGGTCCGGTCAAAATCAGATAATCTTCCACGTTCTGTTGATCTTCGACACTGTTGGTCCCCGATGATCTACACTACATAATGTGTATGAAGATGGATGTGTATTGGTGTAATGGAAGTTTTCATTGATGGCTAGGAGTTTACAGAATGATGTTGAAGAATGTTAGCGTAAAACCTCCGTAGCCTATTCTATGCGTAAAACTCTAAAATGATCAGGAAAGCTCTTCTACGTTGGAAAAACTTCTCCTACGCAATCTACATAGGGTCTATTTATAGCCCTTTGTAGAATGCTAGGTTACAAGCATTGGGCTTCCATAATAAAGAGACCCATTCCCTTTAGGAATGTGGCCTTTACCTAAAATAGCTTATCTAATAAATTATTCTACTAGGCTTTATAAAATACAATGGATCAATATCAAAAATATCTCGAACAATCTCCTCCTTTGTGATCCAATGTCCATTTCAGCTTGTGACACTCCAAAAAAAAAAATTAAATAAAAATAAAAATAATTTTTAGCCAGATAAATCATAAAATATTACGGAAATGACATTTTAATTATTAATTGAGTCAGACAAAAATTCAACAGTTGTAACATTCTGATCAGATAAAAATTTCAAAATTTATGACGTCTTAGTCAGATAAAAATATTTCAGTAATAGGAACAGCATTTTATGAAACAAGTGAACCAGACAGAAAATTAACAATTGTGACATTTTTAGTCAGATAAAAACGGTCCGATAAAAGAAGTAATATTTTATAAGAAGTAAAAGCTATATTTTATTTTTCTATAAGATTACAAAACACAATTCCCATTTTTACTCCTAAATATATAAACTATACCTACGTATAATACTATACGTATTAACCAACCTGCAAAACAATGTTATGAACCTACGCAGCAGTTATAAACCAACAAAGAAAAAAATTATAAAAAAAAAATAATGGAGGAAGATCTTCAAAACGTATGTAACGCTCAAAAAAAAATCATAGAAGCAGAATTTTAGGATCTGAATCATAAGCTTGTGCACCCAGCCACCTCTATAAATAGCAGAATCAACTGCCTGGCCTTTCATCCCAAAAATTTTCGTCGGAATACATATATATATATATATATATATATATATATATATATATATATATATATATATATATATATATATATATATATATATATATATATATATATATATATACCCGTAATTTCCAACCCAGAGACACACTCAAAACCGAGCCCTGAAAACACTTCCCAGACCTTCCCCTTCGTGAGAGGAATCCAACGGAGGAAGAATCATTGAAAACGACCGTGAAACGAGGGAGAAACAGCTCGCCGGAGTTTCGCCGGGGAAACTTTCCCGACGGGAAACGGAGGAGCAGGAACCGCCATCGCCGCAGCCAACCCTTCACCGACCTTCGCCGTCCCGGGAGGAGTGCACCGCTACCTCCGTTGGCCGTTTTCGTCGAGGTAAACCATACCCTGCGACTTCCCGTTTTTTTCTCGTTCTCCGGCGTTCTTGCGAAGAAGACGACCCAGCATAAAGCTGGGGTCTGTCTTATGGGCCTGGTTGCTGGACTGGGTTCTGATTATTTGGGCCAGTCCGGCCCAGTTGCAATAAAAATTAAAAATAAAATAGTAAATGGAATAAATAAAATCTGGAAAAATATAAATTAAATACCTGGTGTGATTATACTTTTTCGGGCCAACCAGAAATGAAAAATAATATTTTTAGCTATTTTTAATTGATTTAATGGTAATTGGGCCAATTTGTACACAATTAGTAAATAAATAAGTAAATGGCGAAATTAATTATGAAATAAATATTGGAGTAAACTAGGATAAATATAAGACTAACTAAGACATTATGGACCATTTATAATTAATAAAAATTAATATTAGTATATTTAATTGTAAATGGACCGGTTATTTGATATACGAAAATAAATGAATAAGTAAGGAAAATGAATTATAAAATAAATATTTGGACAACCTAAGCCAAATGTAGAACCAAAATATAGTTATGGACGGTTATTAATTTATAAAGTCGACTCTTGGCTATTTTATTAAATTGGACCATATAAAACTAATTAAGTAATTAAATAATGAAATTTTTAATGATGAAATGAATTTATAGTTTAATACTCATTAAAGCATATTATATTAAAATAATTATTTGGACTTGGTATCATAATTGGATTAAATAAATTGGTAGATTTTGTTTTCACTAATTATTGGACTAATTAAGGTAGAGTAATATAAAATTTACACAATTACGGACTTTTAAATATTAAGTGTTTGAGTAATTAATAAAATCAGAATATGTTATAAAACAATTAGTTAATTCGGATTTATTAATGCTAATAATGTTAATATAAATTAATGTAGTTTCGATATTTGATTAGTTAAATTAAAAATAATTCGGATATAATATTAAGACATACCAAATGCTTTAGGAGTTGAGTAAATAAAAAGGTGATTATTGAATTAAAAATTTGACATTGTAATTAATTATATTCGTATATTTTAGTATTCGATTATTTTAATTAACGACTAAATTAATAATAAGGTAGTGTAATTAATAAAAAGTGATTAACGCGGATAATGAAATAATTGAATTAGTGAATTCAAAAAAATGAAATAAAAGGTGAAAATCGAGTAAAACAATTATTAAAGAGTAAGTGACTAATTATATCATCTTAATTAAAAAGGTGATTATTTAGAGACCGGAGTAGAAGAAGAGAATTAGGAGCACCCGGACTAGAGGTAAGTTTCTCTGCCAATCCAAAAATCGTTTCCTCGTATTATATATGTATTATGTGATACGTGATTTTTAAGTGTGAAGTATGACTTTTATGCATGTGATTCTGAGATGATTCGTGAAACTAAGTGCTTTTGGGGGTAAATATTTTATCTAAATATTTTTAAAACAGTTTGAGAAGTTGAGAAATATTTTGAAGTATATTAATTCAAGATAAAAGAATGATTTCATAAGAGGTGAGCATCACGGGAGAAATCCGTGGTGTCGGTTTTCCACGTCCGGATAAATGTGGAGGGTGATTAGGTTTGCTACTACTAAGAAGTACAGTTTGAGTTTAAAAGTGATATTTGGATCGATGATCCCTTTTAAGAAGAAGTTATGGTAGTAGTAGTCCCTAATCATTCAAGATATCTTATTCAGGGGTAGTTGGTAGACTGAGTCCCGACTACTCGTTACGACTTACTACTCGGAGGGCTTGGAATCCCTTTTAGGGGGTGTGCACACTTAAGGTAGTCGTTTCGTTTCCAACAGAGCAGTTGTGGTACCGGCACTTGTTTGGGGTGGCCGTCCGTAACCACGGTCCACCGGGCTCTACCGAAAGGTTGAGCACCGCCCTTCTAAATTACTAGGAAGTTAGAGAAGAAGTGATTTTTGAGGAAATCAAAGGGAAGAGTTATTATGAAGTTTTAAAGAGAAGTTGAGGAGTTTTGTAAGTAGTTTTGAGAAAAATCAAAGTGAAAAGAATTTCGATGGTGTGAGTATTTTTTTTATATTATTATATAAAGATCTATTTTAGTCAAAAATGATTATTTTACGGGGTTGGGTAGTACTTACTTAGCTCTAAAGCTAATTTTTGTTTTCTTTTCCTCGTTTTGTTTCTGCACTTTATTTGTGCAGGTGAGGATGATCTTGTCGATTGATGATTACTTGCATGGCCCGAGAGCGAATTAGAAGTCGCCTTAGTTATACTAGTCATGAAATAAACATTTACTTTACAGACACGTTATTTTATTAAATTAGCTGTTATGTTTTAGTTGCCTGTGCATCCGGTCGAGAGATGACCGGATGTGGCGGTAACACCCATTTCCCTTATTAAGACTTCCGCTGTACTTTCTTTAAATTTTCATTATCAATAAATAAAAGTTTTATTTCAATTATATTAACGTTTTGGGTGGGAAATTTGGGGGTGTTACAAATTGGTATCAGAGACTTTGGTTTTCCCGAAAGGACTAGAACACGAGGTAATAGGTCGTAGGGAGAAATTCTGTCACAAAGACGATAACAGTCTAAGCTGGTTGGTGCATAATTGAGCCTCCGCGCTCGTCCAACTAACTGGGAATTTCTCCTTGTGCTGAAACTTCGTTGTTCGAAATCTTTGACGAAAACTATGGGTTTGATGCGGGATTTTCAGAAAATGTTTTCCTAAAATTAAGAGAATGAATATACTAGGAAAGAGGCCTTTTAGGAACGCGGTGAGAGGGAGGAACCCTGCGAAATTATTGAGTTATGAAATGCATGGGATTCATGCCTCTGTGAAGTATGTGGAATATGTGATACACTATGTGTACTATTTGTTCTAAGAATCTGAAGTTAGTAGAGAATTTGTATAGAATCCTTATGTATGCATTAATACTTAGTACGGGCTTTTCTTTATTAAGAAACATGCCGCCAAGAAGAAACCCCCATGCAACCCCAACTGTTGAGGAGTTGGCTCAAACTATTCAGCAAATGGCGCAACACATTGGAGCAGCTCAAACCCATAACCAAGGGGTTGACTATGCGATGCGCGTAGCCGGAAGGAACCCCCCAAAATACCTGGGGGAGGAGGATCATCTGATTTTAGAAGACTGGATCCGAACCTTTGACAAGCTCTTTGATTCACTCAACTGCCCGTTGGAGCAGCGGGTAAACATAGCGGTGTACTACTTGCACCAAGAGGCTGATCATTGGTGGGCTGCCACCGTACCAACCCTGCTCGAGCAACCGAGATTTTGTTGGGAAGACTTCAAGATAGCCCAACGCGACCGTTTCTATCCGGACCATGTGAAAGAGGCAAACTATGATGAGTTTGTCAACTTCAAGCAAGGAGATTTAACTGTCCAAGACTACCACACGAAGTTTGTCCATCTAGCCCGCTTCGCCAAAGAGCTGGTATCCACTGAGGCCAGCATGACCCGAAGGTTTGTGAATGGGCTGAACTTTGGCGCCCAAAAGTTCGTAATCGTGACAGAGCCGCAGAACATGAATGAGGCGTACCGGAAGGCTGGCAAGTACTACATGGTACATCAGAAAGAGAGGGAGGCGCAGAAGAGAGACCGGAAGATTGCCGAGGTAGAACAGCAGCAAAAGAAGGCCCGAACTGACTGCCCAGAGCCAAGACAAAACAACCAAAACGGTAGAACCTTCCAAGGCCAGGGTCAGGGAAGGAATCAGCCCGCTCAGGTACGGCACTACAAATGCAAACTGTGCCCAAACAACCATCCCGGGAAGGATTGTGCGGGAAATGCGGTGAGATGTTACAACTGTAATCTCATGGGACATCGGGCATATGAGTGCCGGAAACCTCCGAGCCAGGGTCAAAACCAAGGGAACAACCAAACTGGGGGCGGGAACAATCACGCTAACACCAACCGTGGTAATCCCGGTAATCGCCCAGCGGAGACTAACCAAAACCAAGGCCCGGGAGGGCAAAACAACACTCAAGGCCGCATCTACGTCATGAACCAGGCTCAAGCAAATGCACACGATGTGGTGACAGGTACCTTTCTTGTAAACTCCAAACCTGCTTATGTGCTGTTTGATTCAGGTGCATCCCACAGCTTCATAACATCAAAATTCGTGGAAAGGACGAAGCTAGAACCTACCACTAAGCTTAGTCTTAACGTAAAAACGGCCTCCAACCAAGTGGTGGCATGTGGGAGTGTATTCTCTAAAGTTCCCATAGTCATATCCGATACCGAACTACCCGGAGATCTAATCCAATTTGACCTGGAGGATATCGACGTGGTGTTGGGTATGGACTGGCTAGGGAAATATAAAGCCAAAATCCTATGCGACGAGCAGAAAGTGGTCTTGAGAGGACCCAATAAAAAACGTGTATCCTACAAAGCAGTTACATCTAAACCGGGAGTGAAGCTAGCAACCATGCAACAAGTCAAACGATATGTCCGAAAGGGGTATGAAGTTTACTTGTGCAGGATCAAAGACTTGACCTCCGAAGATCCGACCATTGACCAAATCCCAATGGTCAATGAGTTTCCGGATGTATTCCCAGAAGCGATTCTGGGGATGCCACCGAAAAGGGAAGTCGAGTTTTCAATCGACCTTCTGCCGGGCACCGCACCCATCTCAAAGGCACCATACCGAATGGCACCGAAGGAATTGCAAGAACTGAAGGAACAACTCGAAGAATTATCGGAGAAAGGCTACATCAAACCGAGTATCTCACCTTGGGGTGCTCCGATCTTGTTCGTGAAGAAGAAGGATGGGAGTCTGAGATTCTGCATTGACTATAGAGAGCTGAACAAAGCCACCATCAAGAACAAATACATGCTGCCTCGCATTGATGACCTCTTTGATCAACTGAGGGGAGCTAGCACGTTTTCCAAAGTTGATTTGAGATCCGGGTACCATCAAGTGAGGATTTCTGAGAAAGATATCCCGAAGACGGCCTTTCGAACGAGGTACGGACACTATGAGTTCACCGTAATGCCGTTTGGCCTCACCAATGCACCTGCGGTATTTATGGATCTAATGAACCGTGTGTTCCGACCCTACCTCGATCTGTTCATTGTGGTGTTCATTGACGACATCCTGGTGTACTCCAAGACACCAACCGAGCATGAAGAACATCTGAGGATAGCACTGCAAACTTTGAGAGAGAATCAGCTATATGCCAAACTCTCAAAGTGTGATTTCTGGAGGGATCAGGTAGCATTCTTGGGCCACATCATCACCCGAGAAGGGGTATCCGTTGACCCGTCAAAGATCGAAGCGGTGACTGACTGGCCTGCACCCAAAACCGTGACGGAGGTCCGGAGCTTTTTAGGTTTGGCGGGCTATTATCGTAGATTCGTGAAGGATTTCTCAAAGATAGCAAAGCCTTTGACTAATCTCACGAAGAAGACAACGAAGTTCATATGGAGTGAAGAATGCAAACAAGCTTTCCAAGAGCTGAAGCAAAGGTTAACAACCGCGCCTGTCTTGACCCTACCGTCCGGTACCGAGGGGTTCAAAATTTACACTGATGCTTGTCTGAGGGGGTTGGGGTGTGTATTGATGCAAAACGGCAAAGTGGTGGCCTACGCATCAAGACAACTAAAGACCCATGAGGTCAACTACCCGACTCATGACCTGGAACTGGCAGCGGTTATCTTTGCTTTGAAGCTGTGGAGGCATTATCTCTATGGGGTACACTGTAAAGTTTACACCGATCACAAGAGCCTGAAGTACATCTTCACCCAAAAGGAGCTTAACATGAGATAGAGACGCTGGCTAGAACTCGTCAAAGACCATGACTTGGAGATCCAATACCATGAAGGCAAAGCAAACGTAGTTGCCGATGCGCTGAGCCGGAAATCAACCCACTCCTTCAAAGCAGCATGGGTACTACCTGATGAACTTTACCGGGACTTTCAAAAGCTAGACTTGGAAGTTCGGGATTTCGGAGAGGTAGAGCGGGAAACACGGTTACTCACCATGACCGTTACCCCATCTATCTTCGACGAAAATCATGAAGGGCAGCCTGGAGACATAAAGCTAGACCGAATCCGGGCAGGTATGACAAATGGCGTGAACGGTCCGTTCAAACTGCACGAAGACGGGAGCATTCGACACAAAGGAAGGTGGTGTGTCCCGATGAAATGTGAAGAACTTAAAAGGAAAATTCTGGAGGAAGGGCACAACACGCCTTACTCGGTACACCCTGGGGGCGATAAACTCTACAAAGACATCAAAAAGAATTTTTGGTGGCCAAAGATGAAGAAAGAGGTAGCCGAGTTCGTGGCCCGATGCTTAAACTGTCAGAAGGTGAAAGCCGAACGTTGCAAGCCCAAGAGACTCGTACAATCCTTGGAAGTACCAAAGTGGAAGTGGGATTCCATCTCCATGGACTTTGTTGGGGGCTTACCCCTAACCAAGTCTGGCAAGGACAAGGTTTGGGTCATAGTTGATCGGTTAACAAAGACCGCTCGCTTTATCCCAATGAACGAAACTTGGAGCATGGAGAAATTAGCCCGAGCTTACATCAAACACGTGGTTAAGTACCATGGAGTTCCACAAGACATCGTTTCTGACCGTGATTCTAGATTTCTATCTCAATTCTGGAAGGAATTGCAAGCCGCCATGGGGACGAAGCTGAAGCTGAGTACTGCCTTTCACCCAACCACCGATGGGCAAACGGAGCGGACCATCCAAATACTCGAGGACATGCTGAGAGCATACATGTTAGACCTACAAGGATCGTGGGACGAACACTTAGACTTAATAGAGTTTTCATACAACAATAGCTACCACGCCAGTATCAAAATGGCCCCGTACGAAGCTCTATACGGTCAAAAGTGTAGAAGCCCACTATGCTGGGATGACATGGAAGATCAGGTGGTGTTAGGGACGGATTACCTCCAAGACACCATAGAGAAAGTGAAGATGATTCAAGCAAGGATGAAAGCTGCACAAGTCTTATGCAGACCTGGGAAGGAAGCCAGCCGAATTTGAAGCGGGAGAGAAAGTCCTACTCAGAGTCTCCCCGACCAAGGGAGTAATGAGGTTTGGAAAGAAGGGGAAGCTGAGCCCGAGGTTCATTGGCCCATATGCCATCCTCGAGCGAGTGGGAAGAGTGGCATATCGGCTAGCTCTACCCACCGAGTTGGCTAAGGTATAACATACTATAACCGTTCGTTAGTGAATACCTTAGTAAATATCTCTCAAATCCTAAAGTGTGTTATGCGTAGGTACACAATGTTTTCCATCTCCCCCAATTGAAGAAGTATGTCCGCGACGAATTCCATATTCTTAGCCCCGAGGTACGAACTGTAACCTTGTAATAGTTGAGATCAAAGTATCACATCTAACCTCGACTTTTTAAGTGGTCGAGTTGGATGAATCGTTGACTTACGAGGAGAGGCCGATCCAGATTTTGGATACTAAGACTCGTGAGACTAGAAGAAAAGCGGTTAAGATGGTGAAGGTGTTGTGGTCTAACCATTTGGCCGAAAATGCCACATGGGAGACTGAGGACGATATGCACAAACGTTATCCAGAGTTATTTGACTAAGGTAAAATTATAGTTACGAGGACGTAACCTCTCTTTGAGAGGGGTAGAATGTAATACTTAAGAATTTGATTGTTTAGATATAGTTAATGTTTCGGGACGAAACATCTTTTCAGGAGGGTAGAATGTGACACTCCAAAAAAAAAATTAAATAAAAATAAAAATAATTTTTAGCCAGATAATTCATAAAATATTACGGAAATGACATTTTAATTATTAATTGAGTCAGACAAAAATTCAACAGTTGTAACATTCTAATCAGATAAAAATTTCAAAATTTATGATGTCTTAGTCAGATAAAAATATTTCAGTAATAGGAACAACATTTTATGAAACAAGTGAACCAGACAGAAAATTAACAATTGTGACATTTTTAGTCAGATAAAAATGGTCCGATAAAAGAAGTAATATTTTATAAGAAGTAAAAGCTATATTTTATTTTTCTATAAGATTACAAAACACAATTCCCATTTTTACTCCTAAATATATAAACTATACCTACGTATAATACTATACGTATTAACCAACCTGCAAAACAATGTTATGAACCTACGCAGCAGTTATAAACCAACAAAGAAAAAAAATTTAAAAAAAAAAATAATGGAGGAAGATCTTCAAAACGTATGTAACGCTCAAAAAAAAATCATAGAAGCAGAATTTTAGGATCTGAATCATAAACTTGTGCACCCAGCCACCTCTATAAATAGCAGAATCAACTGCCCGGCCTTTCATCCCAAAAATTTTCGTCGAATACATATATATATATATATATATACCCGTAATTTCCAACACAGAGACACACTCAAAACCGAGCCCTGAAAACACTTCCCAGACCTTCCCCTTCGTGAGAGGAATCCAACGGAGGAAGAATCGTTGAAAACGGTCGTGAAACGAGGGAGAAACAGCTCGTCGGAGTTTCGCCGGGGAAACTTTCCCGACGGGAAACGGAGGAGCAGGAACCGCCATCGCCGCAGCCAACCCTTCACCGACCTTCGCCGTCCCGGGAGGAGTGCACCGCTACCTCCGTTGGCCGTTTTCGTCGAGGTAAACCATACCCTGCGACTTCCCGTTTTTTTCTCGTTCTCCGGCGTTCTTGCGAAGAAGACGACCCATCATAAAGCTGGGGTCTGTCTTATGGGCCTGGTTGCTGGACTGGGTTCTGATTATTTGGGCCAGTCCGGCCCAGTTGCAATAAAAATTAAAAATAAAATAGTAAATGGAATAAATAAAATCTGGAAAAATATAAATTAAATACCTGGTGTGATTATACATATTCGGGCCAACCAGAAATGAAAAATAATATTTTTAGCTATTTTTAATTGATTTAATGGTAATTGGGCCAATTTGTACACAATTAGTAAATAAATAAGTAAATGGCGAAATTAATTATGAAATAAATATTGGAGTAAACTAGGATAAATATAAGACTAACTAAGACATTATGGACCATTTATAATTAATAAAAATTAATATTAGTATATTTAATTGTAAATGGACCGGTTATTTGATATACGAAAATAAATCAATAAGTAAGGAAAATGAATTATAAAATAAATATTTGGACAACCTAAGCCAAATGTAGAACCAAAATATAGTTATGGACGGTTATTAATTTATAAAGTCGACTCTTGGCTATTTTATTAAATTGGACCATATAAAACTAATTAAGTAATTAAATAATGAAATTTTTAATGATGAAATGAATTTATAGTTTAATACTCATTAAAGCATATTATATTAAAATAATTATTTGGACTTGGTATCATAATTGGATTAAATAAATTAGTAGATTTTGTTTTCACTAATTATTGGACTAATTAAGGTAGAGTAATATAAAATTTACATAATTACGGACTTTGAAATATTAAGTGTTTGAGTAATTAATAAAATCAGAATATGTTATAAAACAATTAGTTAATTCGGATTTATTAATGCTAATAATGTTAATATAAATTAATGTAGTTTCGATATTTGATTAGTTAAATTAAAAATAATTCGGATATAATATTAAGACATACCAAATGCTTTAGGAGTTGAGTAAATAAAAAGGTGATTATTGAATTAAAAATTTGACATTGTAATTAATTATATTCGTATATTTTAGAATTCGATTATTTTAATTAACGACTAAATTAATAATAAGGTAATGTAATTAATAAAAAGTGACTAACGCGGATAATGAAATAATTGAATTAGTGAATTCAAAAAAATGAAATAAAAGGTGAAAATCGAGTAAAATAATTATTAAAGAGTAAGTGACTAATTATATCATCTTAATTAAAAAGGTGATTATTTAGAGACCGGAGTAGAAGAAGAGAATTAGGAGCACCCGGACTAGAGGTAAGTTTCTCTGCCAATCCAAAAATCGTTTCCTCGTATTATATATGTATTATGTGATACGTGATTTTTAAGTGTGAAGTATGACTTTTATGCATGTGATTCTGAGATGATTCGTGAAACTAAGTGCTTTTGGGGGTAAATATTTTATCTAAATATTTTTAAAGCAGTTTGAGAAGTTGAGAAATATTTTGAAGTATATTAATTCAAGATAAAAGAATGATTTCATAAGAGGTGAGCATCACGGGAGAAATCCGTGGTGTCGGTTTTCCACGTCCGGATAAATGTGGAGGGTGATTAGGTCTGCTACTACTAAGAACTACAATTTGAGTTTAAAAGTGATATTTGGATCGATGATCCCTTTTAAGAAGAAGTTATGGTAGTAGTAGTCCCTAATCATTCAAGATATCTTATTCAGGGGTAGTTGGTAGACTGAGTCCCGACTACTCGTTACGACTTACTACTCGGAGGGCTTGGAATCCCTTTTAGGGGGTGTGCACACTTAAGGTAGTCGTTTCGTTTCCAACAGAGCAGTTGTGGTACCGGCACTTGTTCGGGGTGGCCGTCCGTAACCACAGTCCACCGGGCTCTACCGAAAGGTTGAGCACCGCCCTTCTAAATTACTAGGAAGTTAGAGAAGAAGTGATTTTTGAGGAAATCAAAGGGAAGAGTTATTATGAAGTTTTAAAGAGAAGTTGAGGAGTTTTGTAAGTAGTTTTGAGAAAAATCAAAGTGAAAAGAATTTCGATGGTGTGAGTATTTTTTTTATATTATTATATAAAGATCTATTTTAGTCAAACATGATTATTTTACGGGGTTGGGTAGTACTTACTTAGCTCTAAAGCTAATTTTTGTTTTCTTTTCCTCGTTTTGTTTCTGCACTTTATTTGTGCAGGTGAGGATGATCTTGTCGATTGATGATTGCTTGCATGGCCCGAGAGCGAATTAGAAGTCGCCTTAGTTATACTAGTCATGAAATAAACATTTACTTTACAAACACGTTATTTTATTAAATTAGCTGTTATGTTTTAGTTGCATGTGCATCCGGTCGAGAGATGACCGGATGTGGCGGTAACACCCATTTTCCTTATTAAGACTTCCGCTGTACTTTCTTTAAATTTTCATTATCAATAAATAAAAGTTTTATTTCAATTATATCAACGTTTTGGGTGGGAAATTTGGGGGTGTTACGCAGCTCTTATTGTTCTTTTGCCTTTTGAAGTAGTTCTTTCGCAATGCTAAGGCGTGCTCGTACATGCGTAACATTCTTCTCTTCTCGAGTCTGTCTTCAATTGCCTTTAGCACCACGTTTATTTTGTCAAATTCCTTTATTTCAGCTTCAGAGGCTTCAGCAAGTCTTCGTTCGATATCAGATTTCAGCGGAAGCAGGTTTTCTCTGACGATCTTTAGGGTCCCATCACAATATCTTGCAATGTCATCTATCCACAGAATGCGTTTCTTCTCTCCATGATTGAGATAGATGACTATGGCCGGATCTTCAAAAATAGAGTAAGGTGAAAGCTCTTCAACCTCTGGTCCATACAAGATTGGCTTTGTAAGATTAGTTCTGGTGATGTTGTTCTCAAGAGCCATCTGAAGATCGTGAGTGGAATAAACTCTGACTTGCCTCAGCATGAAACGTCTTATTGCTTCATATCCTTCTTTGAGGATTTTATTCTTTCTGATGGTCAGGTTCCTGTAGACCATAGACATTTGGTAGATGTCTTCCATTTTCAGCATGATGAAATCATTCTCTTGACAGGTAAACTCTGTGCCATCAGTTCTTTGCAGTTGATAGATTGGATACTTTATTCCATAATGATCTCCTCTAGACACATTCAGAATATTCCAAATAGGACATTTGCTCGTTTTCAGATCATGTTCCAAAATCTCGCGCTGTTTGCCTGTTGATCGATGATATAACATATGAAGACGTCCGCCGACTTGTCTACCTTTGAGATGGGTTAGACCTCGGACTTTAAGTTCATCAACTTTCTTGATCCTGTCAGGCTTTCTCCATAAATGCTTTCGGATTTCCTCTTGAAAGGGGGCAGTGATATTGATATTCTCCCATGGGTCTTCATCTTTGGGCAAGAGCGCTCCTGTTCTTCTGACAATGGAGGGTAGCTCTGCTGGAGTTTCTTTGTAGTTCTCCCCTTCCTTGAGTTCATCTTCCTCAAGCTGTATCAGTTCTTCAACGCACTTTTTCAATAAGTCTCTTAGATAGACTCCTCTCTGCATTTCATATTGCTCGACCTCTTGTCTGATCTCGTCCCATTCCGTCCAATCTCCATTCCATCTTACATTGATAATGATATTTTCAAGTTCATTATAGGTGGACGGGCTTTATTCTTCAGAGGGAGCATTCATCTGTGTTGCTTCGTGAGAGGTAAGTCCGGGATCACATGGATTGCCCGTTGTCATCAGTATAGAACTAGGTTCTTGCTGATGGCCTGAATAAAATGGTGTACTCGAAGTAGCTACCTCAGGACTTCCACTCCATTCTTTGTCAAAATCTCTAAGAGATATGCCTTGGAGTGTTTTGTCTAGATCGACCATGCTAGAAATATGTAGGTTTGTGGCTTGGCTGTTGGGTTGAGTGGAGGATGGGGGTTGGTTGTTCGAGGATTCAGGTTGAGAATCATGTATGGGTTGTTGGCTTGTTGATGCTCCATGCTCAAGTGTCTGTTGCCTCTTGTTCTCCCCCTCATGAGGATCCGAGTCATCGGGGTCCTCATGCGAACGTTTGTGACCACGGAGACTGTCACGGCATGTGCTATCGGTTTCTAAGAATATGAGAAGAAGGGCATTTTGTCTAAGGGTTCGGTTGCCTTCTTCGGTGGCTAGAATTCTTGCTAGCATAATAGATTCGAGTTCCTCGAAATCAATGGTATATGGGTTAGGGTGAGGTGTGGTCGTTGCAGGGGAGGACACACGTTCTATATCCTGGGTTCCCCTTGAAGTGGTAGATGTTTGAGGTTGGGTGGTTGAGGGTTCGGATGTTTGAAGGGTAAGTATGGGGGTAAGTTGTTGTTGGGAGTTTGAGGTGGATGGTTGTGGTTGGGTGGTGTCAATTTGTAGCGCCTGGGTGTTCATGAATTCATGTGCCTGAGCGGTTATTGCTTCGTGCACCCATGGCTTGATGGTGGAATCCATGAAGCTCTGTAGAATGACAGAAAGGTCGGTAGGTTCGGGCTGTCCAGTTACAGGGGTAGTAACCGTTGTCACAACATCAGTAAAGATTACCGAAGTGTGGCCTGTAGATAATGATTGAGGTATCTGTTGAACAGCAGGACTTCCGATCATCATTGATGTATCTCCGATCGTTGTTGACAGGTAAAGTGAACCTGTTGAGTGCAGTGGTGTGAGAAGTGTAGGTGTCCTAGAAAAATTGGAAAATGTAGGGAGTGTGACACCTAGACTCATCGTGTTAGAAGGAGGGGTAGTGGTCCGGGACGATAGACCACTATATAAATCCTCAACTGCGTCGTAAGGAGGCAGAGAGGTGGGTGTAGTATCCCCTATTTGTGAAACTATTACCTGTTGGGAGGCAGCAGAGTGGCTAGGTTGGGCTTGTGCATGCGCAGTTGGGCTTGATGCTGCGTCTTCTACTCGGAAATTGAAAATATCAGTTTCTGCACCTATGGGGTTAGCCCGATTTATTTCTTTCGAAGTCGGAACAGCTATCAAATATTGCCATGTCGTCCGCAATGGCGCTGTCCGTTTGCACTCTTTGAGTTGGAATGGATGATGAGGAGGGGTTGTCATGACGTACCTTAGAGCGAGTCTCACTTATAGTTGCTCTTTGAGCGTTTTTGATCTGGTGAGACTCCTCCTTGTTTGTAGCCCTAAAAAGCCTTATAACGAGTCTTCCTTTCAGAGCAGGGGCTTCCTTGGCTTTTCTTGCGTTGTCATTCGCGTCGTCATCATCCTCATCACCGTCATCGTTGTCGCTTTCCTCAGCCTTGCTCCCAGAGTCCTCATCATCAGCGTCTGGTGTTCTGGCTATGCTTGATGAATCACGGGTAGTCTCTTCAGCACGGGTGTGGACCTCAGCAGACAAAGTCTGATCATCATGGGGCCAACTCGCCACTGGTCTCTGTGGCCGGGTTGAACTCTCAGGACCCTCACTCACACTCGGCTGACTCCCAGGGGTAGGCTCAGGGGGGTTTATCCGAGCCATAGGGAGTATAATGTTGTGCTCTTCACAGTAGCGTCAGACAGATGGATCATTCGGATCGGCTAACTGTAGAAGAGCCACTGGTATAGTCATTGGTACCAGCCTGGGAACATCGGTCATTTTCTTGAGACGTTGGACGGACAATATGTAGACATTCTCCTTTGATAGCCTTCGTGGAATCGCTGCAGTGGATCGGGAGATATGTCTTACAATCAGTGAAAACCATCTCATGTAGGGAAGGTGTTTGATCTGGTCCGTCTTTGTTCTCTTTCTGACTAGCTCAAAAATTTCATCCCATATCCGGGAGACATAGTCGTAGTTCTTCATGAAAGCGATGTCGTGGAAGATGGTCAGAAGGTAGATACTACACTTTTCGAAGCCAGTGTGTTTGGCAGTACAACACCTATTGAGAATAGCAAGCATTGTCCTCCATGGTCTTGGTAAGCGTCCCGGTCTGACATCAGATATTAGCTTGATTGGTGCAGCATGGCCTAGCTTGAGCATATCGGTATAGCGCATGTGTAAGGAATATTTGTAATTAGATTTTGATGATGCTAGATTAATTAGGACTTTAGAGTACCCCTCTTTAGAATTAATGTATTAGAATTTTCATTTGTAAAGTTCTTAGTATAATCGACTACCAGAAGACCTCCTGACAGAAGATCTTTGGTTCTCTGCCTTAGAACAGAAGACCTCAGGGTCTCTGTTAACCTTTACTCTAACAGAAACCCTCCTGGTTCTCTGTTAGTTATATTCTCAACAGAAGTGCTCAAGACCTTCTCTGATCAACTCTCTGGTAAAGACACCAGAAGGCCTGACACTTAGAAGAATTCCACTAAGCCGGGAAACCAACTGAAAGATTCCTTCAACGGCTAGGAGTATTGAACGGAAAAGCTACAGTGCACGCATTAAATGCACATTTAATGCCCCCCATGCTCCGTAGAGTAATTGCAGATGATTGGCCGCAATGTCAGGATTACTTTATCCCAAAATAGTAACCCGCCAACTTTACCGGGTCCTACTGGTGTGACACTCCAAAAATTTAAATAAAAATAAAAATAAATTTTTAGCCAGAAAAATCATAAAATATTACGGAAATGACATTTTAATTATTCATTGAGTCAGACAAAAATTCAACAGTTGTAACATTTTAAACAGATAAAAATTTCAAAATTTATGACGTCTTAGTCAGATAAAAATATTTCAGTAATAGGAACAACATTTTATGAAACAAGTGAACCAGACAGAAAATTAACATTTGTGACATTTTTAGTCAGATAAAAATGGTCCGATAATAGAAGTTATGTTTTAGTATAAAATTAATTTTTTTTAAGTTGTATAACATACAAAGTACAAATTGAGTGTAATACACACATATATATATATACACGGTAAACTACACCTGAGTAATATACTAATATACTCCTATTAGATAAATAAACTAGACCTACGTATTAACTAAAATATCACTCCCTAACAAACATGGACAACCAACTGCTGTCAAACTCCACAACCGTTTATAACAGCAAAGGAAAGAACATAAATAGGAAGATCTCAAAACGTAGGAAACGTGGGAAAAAGAAAAAAAAACTCCGTATGTACCTCCAACGTATGTAACGCATCAGTACCATTTTTTTTAAAGAAAGATTTTCTTTTAAACTTTACGCATCATTATACACCCAGTCATCTCTATAAATAGCAGAATCAACTGCATGGCCTTTCATCCCAAAAAAAATTCCCGTCGGAAAATACATATATATATATATATATATATATCTGAAATTTCCAACCCATCGTTATACTCAAAACCGAGCCCTGAAAACACTTCCCAGACCTTCCCCTTCCTGAGAGGAATCCAACGGAGGAAGAATCGTTGAAAACGGTCGTGAAACGAGGGAGAAACAGCTCGCCGGAGTTTCGCCGGGAAAACTTTCCCGACAGAAAACGGAGGAGCAGGAGCC